TCCAAAAATAACATTCATTTCCCTATAATGCTTCATAATGTTGCCAGTTCCACACATTAATAAACACATTATAAGTTAAAATAGCTCCAATGCATCCGGCACACAGAAGTTACATAAAAACTAGTCCTCTCATTCTAAGGGAACCATGGTGTGCAGCAGCAAGTGTTGGACTGGGGTGGACTAAGTCAGAAGTCACACGACACCAGGTTATTCTTGAGCAGTTTATTTGAAATCACAAGCTTTTGGAGGGCTGCTCCTTCGTCAGGTGAAGTAACTAACAAATCTACTCTTTTAAGAGTTTACTATTCTGAATATCCACAAATTATTTTCAAACTTCCTCCACAATTAAACTGATTCTATATCACATCTTAGCAAAAATTAGAAAATGTCAACTTTTTTTAAAATAAAGTTCATTTTCCTCGTTAGAAGATCAGTGAAATTTTTTTTTAATATAACTACCACTTTTAAAAACACATTTTACCACAGTAATGCTTTGAAAGAAAATGAAAATCTATTACTGAGAATCAAAAGGGATATATGAACTTGCAATATTAGTTAAGTTAAATCAGGCTGGTAGGGTTTCAATTTTTAATCTTCATTGTCACCATTGAAAATCAACTGGAACGCATTCAGTGTCTGTAACTAAATAAAAATACGGGCAGATAGCTTTCTTCCATGTTAGGAAAATGGAAGTATATGACATCCCACGAGAGATGGGTTTTCAAAGGAAGACATTAAAGCAGGAGGAGGAAATGGACAGACTATGAGTTTAAGCAGGGAATTCCGAACTGAAGTGTAGACTAGGTAGGGAGCTGGGATGGGATTCACAAAGGGCAGATTCAGAGGAGTAGTGTTGGAGTACAGGTTTTGCAGGACAGAAGCATGTTACCTAAGTAGGAAGAGATGTTAATATTAAATCGGAGGCTTTGGAGGAGTGATGGGTGAGTGTTAATATTAAGTAATAGAATATAGGCAGGAGAGCTTTAGAAGAGCTAAAATTCATGGAGCATAGGGAGGTCTTCCTATAAAGCAATACAATAATGAAGTCTGAAGCTGATAGACACACAGAAGACTGTCCTAGCAGAAACTAAGATAGCAGCAGAAACAAAAGACGGAATGGAAGTGGAACAAGTTTTCATGATGAAGCAGATATGAAATAGTGTCAAATTGCATGTTGAGGTTTGAACAATATGGCTCAATTTAAGAGCGTGTGACCAGACTAGGAGATGTAATCGGTGTCAAGGAGGCAGGGATGGAAGACAATGCCAATGTGTTTCAAATGGTCAAAAAAGTATAAGGATAATGCTCTGCATAATCACAAAGGATGTCATTTGTGATTTTCATTAAGCCATTTAGATGATGCTGCAGTGATGTCAGCCTGATTAGAGAGATTCAGCAAAGTTACAAGATCAGCATTTTCTGAAAGACAAAAATACATTCAAAGACTTTGCAGGAGGAAGAAAAATTGGAGCTCAGGTGGTAGCTTGCAATGAGAGAGGGGTCAATGATAGGTATTTTGAGAATGAGGATGATGCAGGCAATTTTGAAATACCTGGGGAGTGGGAACTTTTTGCAGTACCAGCAAGCTAGAAAGAAGACTGGGTAATCATTGGGTTAGTGGGATGGAACTCAAAGAAGAAGGGAGATAAGTTTCATTTATAAAGTGAGCTTGGAAAGAGCAGGAGATGAAATAGAAAAAATACAAGTTTACAACTAAGATGAGCAAAAACCTAGTAGGGTTTGAACTGTTGAGTAAGGGAAAGAAAAAAAAGTGTGGGGAACATCACATACAATTAAATAGATGGTCTCAATCAGAGTGACCAACTGTTAAGCTTCTCACATATTGTTGGGAGTTAAGATTGGAAAGGGATAGAGAAACAGAATTGAAGCCCTCATCATGTTTCATGCAGCCCTACCTAACTCTAAGCTACTTTCCCCTGCACTTGATTGGTCAAAACCGAGAGCTATATTTAAAAGAATGACCAGGATTCAAGTAAAGGTTTTGCTATTTAACATTTCAGATTATGTTAATCATTTCTGCCTGAATTTGTTTTAGCCCTTTTTCAGTGTTAATTGACTATTGTTTTCCCCAGTATTTTATCTGCTTTAACATGTATGTGGAAATTACAATATGAAAACAGGCTATTCAGCCAACCAGCCATGTTGTTGTTAAACCTGTACACAGGAAGCATTCGGAACAAAAACCCAGAAGTTGCTGGAAAAACTCAGCAGGTCTGGCAGCATCTGTGAAGAAAAAAACAGTTAACGTTTCGAACGGTGACCCTTCCGCAGAACTGGAAGCATTCGAATCCTTTATACCTGCCTTGTTCCCATGTCTTACTTTCTTTCAACCGCCCAGCTAAACACTCATTCATGTTGCAACTCGAAGGTCTCAGGTCCCATCGTAGCGCATTCCACAGCCTCATTATTCTGTATCAAAAACATTCGCCAGCTTACATTTCATTTTACAGCTGTTATTGTAATCAAGACCTTCCAAACATACAAACCAGGCTCCTCCTACCTATTCTGTCTAATCCCTTCACGATTTAAAACAATGCAACATCATTTCTGATCTATTTCAATTGAGATATTCAACTCTTGAAGTGGTTCTTCAGCCCCGAGTATAGGGTTTGGTGATTCATGTTTTACCTGTAAATAATATAGATGCGACTTTCTTTATGGGCTTCCTTAAAAGGCAAATTCAGCTATAACTATTGCATATAATTGTGTTTACTTTTGAACACCATGAAGATTATTGTCAATGAATTCAAGAAAATCCCAGCAATAGAAGAAAATAAAATGCATTCATTGTGTGCAAGCCCCTCACCCTCATTCCCATTGTGAGACCTCACCTCGGAACGTGCAGCTCGGAGAGTTCCATAGCCGAATCCCCGCCTCAAGCTCTCACTGATTGGTGCATTCATTGCCATTTCACGATGCAACGTCCTATTGGCTAATAATAATGTCAGTCAAACACAAAGCCTCTTCCGGTAACGGCGGTGTTTTCTAAACACGCATGCTCCTGCTTCAGGCCCCGCCCTCCGCCCAATCCCGTTCGCTGTCCGCATGAGTGACAGTGAGAGCTGGCGGGGATCCACCAATGAATGTCCGGAGAGGGCGGGGCGGGTCGCTGGCTTGTTGTTTCGTGTTGTTGAAGGAGCGGAGGCAGTGGCTGGATGGATGGAGATTGAGGGAGTGGGGTCACTGCAGTAATAAGGATAGCCTGGCTCCGGATAACTCGAAAACATGTCTCCGCAGAGTTCCGTGGCTCCAGATAAGCCGATCCAGACTGCAGTGCCCCCCTCAGTGGAGCTGGGCTTGACTGTGGTTTACACCGCTCTATACTCTCTGCTTTTCCTCTTTGTTTACCTGCAGCTCTGGCTGGTCTTGCACTACAAGCACAAGCGCTTCAGTTACCAGACGGTGTTTTTGTTTCTGTGTCTGTTCTGGGCGGGCCTGAGGACTACGCTCTTTTCTTTTTACTTCAAAAATTGTGTTCAGGCCAACCAGTTGGAGCCTTTGCCTTACTGGCTGCTGTATTGTTTCCCTGTGTGTTTGCAGTTCTTCACGCTGTGTCTACTAAATCTTTATTTTGCACAGGTAAGTGTTTAGAGAAGGAGACAAAAGAGTAAAAACAGATTCGTTTTCATGCTGATTTTGCTTATTCTTGATGGATAATAACACAATTGCGTTTGCAAGAGACTGCAGATTCATCGTGCCGACATTTAGGAAACTGTCTTTGTTCTTTCGACGCTATGTATCCCAATCACAACCCGAATAATTCTGAGATGCAAGTCGGTTTGCAACATGCATCTTCTTGGTGTATCGATTTCCCAGCTCATATTGTTTGTCACTAAAATAGTAAATGCTTAGGTTCGAGGGAGAGAAGCGATATATAGTTGGAAGGCTTACCTTGACCGGGTAATATTCTAAGCGAACAGTTGGTTTCAAAGAAACAAGTAACATGGGGAAGCGTGTCATTCTGATTTTAAATAAATATCAATTATGACGTTCACTGGTTTGACTGCCCGCTGCCTTTCAGTACCGAGCTCCGCTGTTTATTGTCAGGTAAACGTTTTTAAACATCCCTATTCTGAAATTCTGTTGCCAGTGACAGATTCTGCCATTGCAATAGTTGCTGAAAATCTCTTACTCAATGCAATGCATTTGTCAGTAATCTGACATTTTTTGTTCTCACCTAATGTAACTGACAAATTGTGCCATTTCGTGACTAAAAAGTTACAGTTTCCAGTTATTTAAACTTCTTTCTTAATGATTTATTGAAAGAAGCCGCATTACAAAGATGTTATCAGAATCAGTCTTTCTGTAGTTATCAAATTGTTGAGGACTGTCAGTTCTTATGCAACGATGAACGTATTTCAAAACTCGAATTTTAATTCCTTGCTTACTCAGCATTAGCAATGTTTCTGTAGGACACGTAACATTAATTGAAATTCGTTTTTTGAACTTGAAGTTTGTTATCTAAAATACAAATATACCATTGTAAAGAAACACACCTTTGCTTGTTCTGAACAGTAAACTTAGCAGAAAAATTGACCCAATGAGGTGATCCACCTCTGGGTTAGGATATTCTTACCTGGCCATGACCCCTCTCGATCTGTTCTAACTTCAAACTTCCACTGTAGCCAGTTGAAAAACAAAATGTTAATGATTCATGCACAGATTTAAAATCTGTGAATTATGCAGAACTGCAAAGGTAAGTTTTTAGGAGTATTTCCTGTAACTTGTAAAGAATACACCAAGCAGCTACCTAAGTGTTACTGAGTTCTGCCACCTCTGACAGGCTAAAATGTTTAAAAAGAAATATAATCTTTCAGTTACTACCTGAAAAAAACAATATTGCAGTTTGTTTCATATTTTCAACAGTTTTTAAAATAAATAACTTAAAACAGAAACACATTTTTGTTCTTTCTTTGGATGTGGACATCACTGCCCAAGGTTTGTATTGAGTACCCATCCCTAGTTGCTGTCTGAATGGTTTGCTAGACCATTTCACCTAACAGTCAAACATGTAGCTGTCACCCCAGATAATGATGGCAAATTTCATGCCCTGAATGACATTGGTGAACCAAATAGTTTTTTATAACAGTCTATTACAGTTTCATGGCACCATGACTGCAATAGTTTTATGTTCCAGTTTTATTCATTTAAATTCCACCAGTTGGCTGGATAGGATTTGAACCTACATCTCCAAAGCATTAGTTTGAGCCTTTGAATTACAAGTCCAATGACACTGCGGCTGCCTCCGCTTCTTGACTAAGCACTTTCGTACTTTAAGTTACAGAAAGTGACATTCCCTTGAGTGTTTCTAATCCACCTGTTCAGCGATTTATAATCACAGACATATGGAGCAGATGGGACTTAAACCTCAGATCTCCTGGTTCAAAGGTAGGGACACTACTACTTGTACCATAAGAGCTTGTATACTTATTACGCATTGCACTCTCCCTAGAATTACAACTCTGTTGTTCCCAGCTTCCAACCGATTATGTTATCTGTTTTGCCAAGCAATAACTTTGAACAGTCATTCCAAGCACTTCCTTGGTTTTCTGAGAATTTCGTAAATGTTCAGATAACTCTTTCTGCTGGCCATTCCAGAAGAAACCTTCCAGCATCTGTAGAAAGATACAGGATATGTCACTGTGCGCAGCTGGGGCAGTTTGCCAAGCAAACAAGCATTCCTCTCTGCTAATCACATCAACATCTGCTGTCTATGTGATAGTCATTAATTTGCGTAGAAGCCTGTAACCTGACCTCCCAATGGTTTCCTCGTCTCTCTTTACTAATCCAATAGAAAACATTAACCTTCTAGCTAGGTGGAAATGGTAACTAGCTATCCCTAATCACAACTGCCTTTCATCTTAGAAGTAAAAATATAATTTGTTTATGAGCAGATATCTACAACACCTTTCTTGGACATGTGGAGACTCATGGGTATTTATGTTAAACTCAGCTACCATTGATTCTAAGTTTAAATAATTTGCACCTTATTCCCAACAAAACACTCCAAATTTCCTTGGTCTCAACTAAGAAACCACCCAGGCTTCTCATTGGACACTTGAATGAGTCACATGACCCCTCATTTACCCTAACTTTAAAGCTCCCAAAATATCTTTTAAATCTCCTTCCATTTCCAAATTGAAATGCCATCAAGTAGACCTGTGTAATAACTGAAATATAAAGGGTATTCATTGTTATCATAAGCAAGATCAAACATTACATATAAACTGCATTGCTAATCATTTTCCAGTTGATCTAAAGCTGTTTCCTGAATGTTTAACTTCCTCTATAAACCGTAATACCCCATTCATTTTTGTTTAAAAACAAATGTTTTGATCAAGTTTTAAATCACCAATACATTAGCTTGCCCCCAGAACTTAATGCTACTTCCTGATCTTTCTCATACAGAAGCACATTAGAGCATTTATAACACTAACGCATGCAGCTATATGAAGTGATCTTCAAAATGAATGGTGTATGAGATCCTTGTCTGTGTAGCTGAGACATTTTGGCTAAATGAGACCTTCTATGATCTGTCTTTGGATTTTCTACTAATATTGCAGGATAAGAGAAATTAGCTTTTGATGTACAGTCCTTTAAAAGTTTAAATTAAACCATTTGCAGTGTGAATTAACTGCAATGCATAATAGAGGTTACAGATAATATAATATAGATTATAAATAAAGTAGGCCTGAGACATTCAACATAAGCTTGAGGCTGGGTCATGGGTCCCAGTGGGTCTTGAAACAAGATTTTGTGCTCAGGAACTGTGAGCCACATATTAACAACTGAAAGACCCCTTGCAGTTTTAACACTGGGTATGGCTGAATGTTCTTTATGAGCTGACCTCAAAATTACCAGTAGAAATGTAGATCTTTAAAACTCAGAGCATTGAATAGGTGGCTCCCACCAGCTTTTATAACCCTCCCTGCCAACACCCCAACCCCCAATCTCTCAGCTGCCCCCTGCCTCAGCAGTCCTAGGCCCAACCATCTTCAGCTGCATCAGTGATCTTCCCACCATCATAAGGTCCGACGTGGAGATATTTGCTGTTGATGGTGCTCAACGATGCACAATTTGTGACTGTTTGTTTAGATACTGAAGCAGTTCATGTCCAGATGCAGCCACACTTGGACAATATCCAGGTTTGGGTTGAAAAGTGGCAAGTAATATTCGTGCCATACAATGACCATATCCAACAAGAGAGAATCTAATCATTGTCCCTTGACATTCAATGATATCCACATCACTGAATTCCCCCACTGTCAATGTCCTGGAGTCACCACTGACCAGAAAACTCAACTGGACTAGCCATACAAATATAGTGTCTACAAGTAGGTCAGAGGCTAGGAATACTACAGCAAATAACTCCCCTCCTGACTCCCCAGACCCTGTCCATCATCTACAAGGCACAAGGTTAGGAGTGTGACGGAACGCTGTTGACTTTATTGGATGAGTGCAGCTCCACACTATCCAGGGCAAAGCAGTTCACTTGATTGACACCACATCCACAAGCCTCCACTCCCTCCAATTCTCAAAAGCAGTAGTATGTACTATCTACGAGACAGAAGTTCACCAAGACTACTGTTCCATAAACTCTATCACTGCCATCTCGAAGGACCAGGGCAGTAGAAACATACATGAGAACACCTGCAAGTGCCCCTCCAAGCCACTTGTTATCCTGACTTAGAGATATATTCCTGTTTCTCCATTATCGCTGGATCAATATCCTGGAATTCTCTCCCTAATCCCACTGTGGGTCAACGTACAGCACATGGACTGCGGTGGTTCGAGAAGGCAGCTCAACACCACAACCTTCTCAAGGGCAACTAGGGACAGACACTAAAAATGGCTGGCCCAGCTAGCTGAGCCCACATTCCATAACTGAGTTTATGTAAAAAAAAATTGAGGTGATGGCAGTTTTCAGTGGGAATAGCTTTGGTAACTACCATTCTGGCACTCCACACTTTGGCTTCAAGTCAGTGGAGAGACGTAGAGATAATGTTTTAAACTGATGTTCTTTGATTACACTGCCAAAAAAAAGACCCTTAATACAAGCTTGTAAGGCATGTGTGATGTTACAGTAAATGTACACAAACTTGCCTGATGCTGTAGGTATTTCAAACATTCTTGCTTTTATTTTGGAGGGTGAAATAAACAAGACAATCAGAAATCCGAACTCAACCTAGTTAGTTGAGTTTGCTAGATTGCTGGCATTATCCTAAAAGCCAGCAATCATGCATATTCAATTCCCATCGCAACTGAGGTAGACATAGGATTTCCTCCTTGGCTTGCTGCTGAGTAGAAAGCAATGGCAAACTGTAACTTGGAAAAAAAGCTAAGGAAATGGCTTGGGATGAAACATAAGCAGAAAATGAGCCAAGGACAGCCTTCAGGCAGAGCAAATATGAATGAGGCCATTTTAGAGGACAATTGGAGTTTTGGGTCTCAGTCATATGGAAGGCTAGGACAGACCAGGTGTAAACAGATTTTCTTTACTAAAGGTATTTTTTAAAACACTATGGTAATTGAATTATCACCTAGCTTTTTATTCCTGACTTACTTAATGAATGGAATTG